CGAGAGACCGCCCTGCAAAGTCCTCGCCAGTTTCCAGCAGCCGCTGAAGGCACACTGCGCCTTGATGCTCTCTGAACCCTAGGGCTCCAAGTATACAAATAGTACCTACTTTGGGGTCTAAAGTCTGTAAATAGCACCTACTTTGGGCTATTTGGAGCCCAAGGGGAAGGATGAACAAACTGAACCCTGGGACGAACACTCTATATCAAAAACCCTTGCGGTTGGCCTTAGGTTTCTGTTTGCGGTATCTAATAAACCAACGTCGACGGCTGTTGTATTCTCGGTGGCTTCGCGGACTCGGCAGGGTGCTTTGCTTTCGGGTCTAGGATCCAGAGATCTCGATCTTACTAGCAGTGGTGCTGCCGAACATCCGAATACTTCTATGAAAGACAATACTAGCAACAATAATCATCATCATCGCCATCATCACCAGTAGTAGTAGTAGTAGTAGTAGTAGTGGTGGTAGTAGTAAGACGAAAAACAGTATCACAAAACAAAACACCCACCAAGACAACTCAAACCAATGGTAGCGAGACTAAGAGCAACAATACCACCACGTATACCATCGTTGGTCTAATGGTGATCCTGACACCTTAATGGCATACGCTTTAATCCCCAATGGTTTCGAGAACTGGCGGGCTTGAATGACAAACTTGGACACCAGGATCCAGGTCAAAGCCCAGGGTTCAGGGCTTATAGGGTTGATTATTATGGTGTAGGTAGGATCAAAACCCTTCCCAAACCATTGCTGCTTCTTGTTTTCTGAGCTTGGCAGCAAGTCTTAACCCTAAACCCGTGGATCCCGTAGCTTTGAGCCTGGCGCACCCTAATCCGAGCTCGCTAGTGAGAGAAAAGCGCTGGGCCTCAAGACTCGGCTTTGCAGTTGTTTAGGGTTTACGGTTCAGGGTTTAGGGCTTAGGGCTTATAGGGTTTAGGGCTTAGGGCTTGGGGCTATTGTAGGGTTTAGGGTTTAAGGTTTAGGGCGTATAGAGTTTAGGGCTCAGGGCTTAAAGCTCAGAGCTTGGGGCCTCTAGGGTTTAGGGTTTAGTAATACCGGCTCCAGGAGTGCACGCTGGAGCCCCCAAAGGGTCCATGTACCCATATAGTATATACTTAGGCCTTAAGGGGGTTCCTATATAGGTACTTTAGGGTCTAAGTATATACGATATGGGTACAGGGAGCCTTTGGGACCGTACACCCGTGGTTTAGAGCTTCAAAGTCAGGGCCCCGATTTGTAAAAGCTTAGCATATGGGTAGTTCTCCGAACTTGGGTCCCTTTTAGGGTTCCTCTAGAAGGGTGCTGTACTATATTGGGGACCCAAAAAAGGGACCCTAATTTAGAGAACTACCCAGCAAAAAAGTTTAGCATCTGGATTGGGTGCCTCCAACATACAGTAACAGTCTATAATCGGGCTGCGATTAAGGGCCTTATATATCCATATTATGAATAATATCCAACTGTTACCGAGGTGGGGGCAGTATCCAACCTATGGCCTACCTGGACCCCACAAAAATTTCAAGAACTTCTGGAAGGAAATCCATTCTAGAGAACCTCCCCTAAACCCTAAACCCTAAACCCTAAAAACCCTAAACCCTAAAACCCTCTAAACACTATAAACCCTAAACCCTCAACCCTAAACCGCCTAAACCCTAAACCCTAAAACCAAAAAAGGGTGGTAGGGCTTCACAGGGTCCAGGTGGGATCTTCGAGTCGAGGGCTTCCGGGTGGAGGTTTTGGAGTTTAGGGTTTCAGACTGCTGGGCTTACAGAGGCGTTGGGGGTTTAAGGTGTAGGGAATTTAGGGTTTAGGGTTTAAGGGTTTAGGGTTTAGGGTTTAAGGTTTAAGGGTTAAGGGTTTAAGGGTTAAGGGGTTTAGGGTTAAGGGTTTAGGGGTTTAGGGGTTTAGGGTTTAAGGTTTAGGGCTTAGGGTGCAACAAACTCTGCGTTAGGTATAGGGGTGACGGTGCGATTGAGTAGATTCGTTTAGTGAAATCCCGACGACCACCAGAGTCGCGGCTGAACTTGCACCAAGGCACTGCCACAAATCCTAAACCCACTGTCAAGCAGCAGCTCACCATCGGCTATTCCTTTCCTGGGCTGTTGCTAGGGTTTTTCTCCGGGGAAGCGGAGAAAAGGCCAAAAAGATCCAACAACTCCCTAAACCCTAAACCCCTAAACCCTAAACCCTAAACCCTATAAGCCCTAAAATGGTGTATTCAGGCTTGCTTCAACATCCGGCGAAAGCCGTGGATGAGGGAATCCGAGTCCTTGGAACGAAAGGAAACCGCGATCCAGTCCCGAAGTACAGCATCGACGATGAAAGGCAAGCCAATTCCTGGGTTTAGGGTTTAGGGTTTAGGGTTTTAGGGTGTAGGGTTTAGGGTTTAGGGCACATCAAGTGTGGGGTCTATAGGGTCTAGGGTTTGGGGGAAGCCAGTTAAGTTTAGGGTTTAGGGTTAAGGATTTGGGGGAAGCCAATTCCTGCACATGGGTAGTTCTCTATAAGATAGGCTCCCTTTTAGGTGCTATTGTGGGGACGTACAAGGGGACCCTAATTTAAAGCACTGCCCAGATAGAACCCTTATAGAAACCCTTACAGATCCGTTTAAGGAACTCTTTAAAGGGAGCCATCGAAGAACTTCCGAATCCCCAAGGCACCCAGGCCTGCGGCCGCTTGGAAGGACTGCTGCAGCAAACAGACCGGCGTAAAAGTCTCGCTTGAGCGTTGAGCCAGATTCCTTGGCTTCGGGCTTAGGGTTTAGGGCTCAGGACCTATGTTGCAGCACTGCAAAAAAGCTTGCGCAGTTGCGTTGGCGTAGGTGTACTTAAAGGCTCACGGGGCTAAGCAAGGCCATAGTTATAGTTAAGACGACCATATTTAGAGCACCTTTAACCAAATATAGCCCTCCCTACTACGTCCCTTGAACCCATAAGTAGTCTCCATGGATCTCCAGGTTATATGTGCTAGGACCCGCATGGGACGGTGTCAGAAGCTTGCAATCTCAAATCCTGAAGCCTGCAGGACTCTACTTGTACCCTCAAATAAAAGTATGGGGGTATCTGGTTAGTTCTCAAGGGTCCCTTGAAAAGTCCTGTTTATATGGGTGCCGGACCATTTTGGGGACCTTAAAGCGGACCCTCACGTAGAGAACTACCCATATGGTCCCAAATAATAATGGGGATGTAGGGCCTGACAGAGGGTAGATCTAGCAAAGACTCCATGTGCACAAAGCGAAGCAGCACACCGAACAGAAGGCCGTTGATTTCGAGGGAGCGAAGACGACCGAAAGGATCATGTGCGCGTATTGGAGAGTGCTGATGCGGTTGGAGATGTCGTCGAGCATCATGAAGGTATCCTGGGATTGACTGGGCATGATTGTAGCTACAGCACCTGTTTCGGGATGAAAGCAAGCCACACCGAGTAAAGCAAATAATAGAAGCGTATTTGCTAAGTCCCCTGATGTTTGAACTATTTTGAGGGTCGAAAACGCGTGCACGTGTAGTGTAGGTGGCCTAGACTCTTGTGCCTTGTTCGGAAATGCAGGTGTTACTAACAGCTGCATCTAACAAGAAGATCAGTAATGATAGCTAGTTAGAAAACAGAATATAGCAGTGATATTTCATGACCAATAACACTACTGATGATTACATTAATAAAAACAAACATATCAATGAGTTAATCAGCCAGCAGTCAGACACGTTTTAATATTCATATTAACTTAAGATGATTGATATTCGGGTTAATATCAATGCTCGTATTTCTTTTGACAATCTTCATACTAATATCCAATCATAAATGAATACTAAAGTTCTGTGATCCAGATTGCATGAGGTGCTGAACCCAGGCCGGGGCGCCAAACAACAACCCAACAACAACACAATGCGCTCAAATGCCCTGCAAAGCACGTTTAGACAACATTGTATACAGCCCTTGTATAGTCGAGATTGTAACAGCACGTTACAATAAACGCTATTGTAACAAACCCTTTAATTAATTTAATTCATGCGCTTAAAACAACCATCACAGCTGCCCCAATACTGTAGGCCTTGTAGAAACCCTCGAAAAAACCTTAAGGGAATACCTGAAAGAACCAGATTCTACGAGCACCGCGACCAGAAGTGTGAAATGCCTGGGCCGCTTTCGGAAAGACAGGAAGCTGGAAGCGGAATGAACTTATCACACTGCTGAGGGTGATGCTGATGATGAGATTTGTCGTTGAGGTGGTAGCGATGTCGTCAAAACCATGATCGTGACAGGGTAGTGTTGGTGATGATGGCTAGTGATGATGAAGGTAATGAGAGTGATGACGACGACGACGGTGATGCTATTGCCTTGACCCTCACGTCATGCGTGGTGTCGTTCAACACTCCTCCAGGACTGACCTCCTCTCACAGCTACTTGGTGGTTTGGTTGGACCCCCCGAAGAACTGATGGCTTTCCAGAAAACCTTGGATGCATTACCACACCCCGACATCCAGAAGCTACCAAGTACTCCAGAACCGAGATCCTTTTTCACAGATGGTTCGGCCTTTGGATGTGGTAATCAACAGGCTTTGTTGTGTTCATGGTCAGTCACTGCAGCTACACCGATGTCTAAGGACAATGTGATCAGAAGCAATGGTTTTTTTACCTGGTAGGAAACAGACAGTTTTTGCTCTGAACTACATTCCACCACAACCAGAAAGCAAACACTGCTGCCAAAAATGCTTGTCTTCTGTACCTCTACCTGTTCTACATGCTCAGCAGGCACTGCTACTTCGAATGAAGAGCTATTCTGAATCCAGATGTCACTCCTCGAATCTGCTTCGTCAAATCATGAATGAATACCCATGATGGTGCTGAGATGCTAGTTGTTTAAACTCTGGTGACTTGCATGCCCAGCAAGGAACCTGCGGTAGTCTCACGCGTACGCTGGGCACTGTCGATGCAAGGTGAACCTGAAGAATTTCAACACCTTACTTACGGGCTGTAGAACCCTACACCCTAAACCATTAACCCTAAAGACTAATTTAGGTGCGACCCAAGTGCAGCACTGCGCAGCTGCGAACCAGGATTTGTTCCGTGATTTGGCTGCTCCACAGCGCCACGGTGTAGACACCGTAGGCTAGGACACCGAGCCTCAGACATTTGGGGTGTAGGGTTTTAGTTTCGGGTTTAGGGAGCCTGAGATATTGACCCAAAAAGGCAAGTAGACAAAAACAAAGTCCCCTGCCTCTTTCAGTAAGCCAGAAGGAAGGGATATCCCAGCCGAAGATTATGTTCGGGTGCTAAATCCCATCCAAGACCCTAGACCCTAGACCCTAAA